TGACAAGATGGCAAAATTGTCATAAAAGTAAGACGCTCGAGAGTGACGCCCGATGGGTAAACTTTTAGCACTAGGTAAGAAATTAAAGTCCGTGTAGACCCGGCAGGAAATTAAAAGTTTAATGAAAAAAGTAAAAGACAAATTTTTTTTTATGAGCACCAAAGATTAAGTTTGATCAAAAAACCGAATAGTCCGAGTTGAAAATCGAACCACAGCCAAAGTACTTAAACCCAGATACAATGCAACACAATTTCGACAGTAGAAAAAAAAGCCGGGAATGTATTTAAGCAGTCAAATTTTTTTTTCATATATCACGGAATGTAAGCTTGTATCTAACGAAAAGTTTACGCGGCATATCGGTTCAGGGCTCTATTTTCAGTCCATTTCCTGATTTTTGCAAGTGTCATTGGGCGGCCTAGCAGCTCCATCGCGGCGAGGATCGAAGGTGTGTTAGGCCAATCGGGTTTGTTCACTATAGGTGTTTCTATAACGACCGAAGGTTCGCTATTCCATATCGGTGGGTCGAATGCGCCTTTCCATACCTCCTTCTTGAACTGCGTTTTTTTGTAAGTTGATGTAGGTGAAATGACTGAAACAGATGGCTTTTTACCCACTAATCAGATCCGCGTCTTCTAGAGTTATCAGGGGTCGAGTGTCGTGGTGGAAAAAAGATGGGGGTGGTTAAGCCCACGACGTTTACTGTAGGATTTTCGGTTTCGATAGTGATTGCTTATAAAGATGAGATGGGAGGAGGAATTGATAAGTAAGTTGAAAGATGATCGCCCGGTCTGTCGTCTAAAGTTTCAATGAGGCTCATAAATACCCTTTCTCCCAATAAGGATGGAGGTTGTCTGGCTCGAATGGGTTTCGTATTATGTTATTATGCCTGATATGAGGTTCCGACATTTTTCTTGGAGGTGGCGATTTTATGGGCGACGATGTTTTCCGCTTGACCTTTCCTGTAAGTTTTGTTTTAGACGAGCCCTGAGTTGGAACGGTGTCTATTCTTTCGACTTCGGGGTCCGTATCAATTGGGTTTGTAGGTTTCTTCGTGTCCCGAGTTGTTATTGGGTTGGGAATTTCTGACCTCTCGCCTTCGATCGCAGTATCTCAGTGGCAAACATCTATTTCTTCCTAACTGTCAAGTGGGGAAGTTAGTGGTATCATGGGTTGCTTAAAATTGATGACGGTAGGACTTGTGTCGGTTGCGGTTTGAAGTGGCTTTGGTTTGTTTACTAGGTTCGGGTCTTCTTTCTGAGGTGTTCTGTTTTATGATTGCTTGGTCTTCAACTGTGTTATACTGTAAATTTTCTTATTTAATTCTGGTACATGGCTTCAGGTCTCTGAGTACTATAAGGTCGCTACCGTCGTCGTCCGAGATTGTTTCCACCGACCTACTTAAGGGTGTTATGTCTGATTTGTCTAGAGTGTCAGAAGTCGGCTACGTTGTCCCGACGGGATAAAATTTTGGTTACCCTCTAAACTAATGGACATCTAAGTTGTTTCTCTCCTCTTCCTCTTCTAGTTACTATTCTCTCGAGCTGTTCATGGCTGCGCTTCGTCTAGCGATGTCTAAATCTTCAAACTTGGCCTGGAGGTTCCTTTTATTTTGAATTGTCTTCGATCTTTTGATTCCTTCGTTTCTGGTTGTATTTTTCAATTTCTTAGATCCTTTTGTGGCATAAATTTTGAATAATTTATACTTCTTACGAGGGCTCATCTTCTACGGTTCAGTAGGTCTTTTCTCGGCTAAATCAGAATTACGGATTATTTAACCACTTTTAAGAGTTATTGTATGATCCAATTCCCTTACTACTTCACCTTCAAGCTCCTTATAGTATGGTTCGTCGTTTTTTCTGTCTTGAATTTCTCTAAAGATAAGGGTCCTACACGACCGGTTAGTCAGAACGGGACTGGCCACACCTAGCGCTTTTTGTTTCACTGAGTCCGGGCTTGTTGGCACGTATCTGGTAGCGTTTGCAATGTCGTCTGATGAGGAGGATTTGTCGTCCAAGTGTTCGCCTTCTGTATCATCAGGAGCGTACCAGTCATGTCGTCTGTCCCGGCACATTAGTTTTCTTCATTTATCTATACAAAAAAAGGTTTTGTTCCAATCCAAGTTGTTTGAAGATGAAGGTTTTGCCATATTGTTCCAAATAGTAATTGGTGACCTACCGAACTGTGCTTCAAAAGGAGAGCAGTTTAATGATTTTTGAGTTACAGTCCTTGAACATTTTATAATTTTCAGTAAAATTTTTTTCTAGGGAGGGTTTTGGCTTTTTTTGTGCCATGACCATAGGCCGTTCTTTAAATGTTCGAATCAATCGTTCAACCAGTCCTGTAGCTCTGTGGTTGCCCACTGGGCTGATTAAAACACTAATATTTTGTTCTTGACAAAATTCCCGGATTTCTTTAGAAATAAACTCCGACCCTTTGTCCGTTCTGATTGTCTTAGGTATTCCAAGCAAAGTTATATTTTTTCTAAGAAAGTTTATGACGGAATTAGCAGATAAGCTATATGTTATTTGCGCCGAAGAGAATTTTGAGAATCGGTCTACGCACACGAGTATGTATATTTTTTGCTCAACAAGTTAAAGGTAGCGGGCCGGTAAAATTTAACTCCACTTCTTGGTTTGGTTCTACGACCGATGGAGGTTTTCCGAGATCTCCGAGTTTTGAAAGAGAATTTAGTTTCTTATTTGCTTGAACGCACTCAATACAACTCTCCGTGAACTTGGATTTACCGGTAAATTTTTGACCACCAGTTGTAAAGGGTTGCCAGCTTTTCCATTGCCAATTGGCCGGGGTGAGCTTCATGTAGTCTATGTAGCATAGTGGTCCTTAGAAATGCTGGTATCACAAGTCTCACGTCGAAATAAAGACATACCCCGTTCAGG